CTTTTTTTTTTTAGGGATTTTGCTGTCATTTCTTTTTTTTTTTTTTAATAAAAAGGTTGAACTGTTTTTGTTTTTTTCTTTTTGGTATTAAGTCCATCTTGTGTTGGTACATTGGCAGAGACTTATGCTGTAAAAATTTAAAACTATTTCTGAGGCACATGTTGGACTACTTTGTTTTAATTAAACTGCTAGTATTTCTTTGTCAAGGATGTTTCTAGTTTTTTGCTTTATTGCCTTGCATTCTAATGCAGTTTGTTCTGTAACTCGAGAGCCAGTAGCATTGGATTGATGGAAGTGTAGGGTTTATGAATTATTGCAGCTGACTACCATACCTCACACAGCGTTGGTGTTGTGAGCGGCCCATGAAAAGCCAAATTAGAAATCAAGGATTCAGTCAAACTAAGCAGGTACTCATGCCAGGTACTCCTTTCTCTACCCACATCCGTGTTTGAATGCTATTGCCTGTGACCTTTACGCTTAACTGTTGTGTATCTTTTTTGTTCTTTACAAGAAGCACAGAGGGGTTTTTGTGTATTGCGTGAAATTTTACAAACCATGTTAACAGAATGGAATTTTTTTTCAACTGTGTGTAGGGATGCAGTGGTGCCCAGAATTAGATATCTTTAAAGAATTTTAAATACAATAAACACCTCATATTATCCGCCTTGTTACATTCAGTGCAATTCTCAAGTCTTTAAGAGGTATGTGTTTAACGTTTCCTACTGTGTAGGAGAATTTGCGGTCAGCCATAGTATAGAGGAATAGTCACTGGCTGAGACATTGAAAGCAACAGCATCTAGCAAGAACAGACACTTGGATCAGTAACACGAAGAACTGATTGATATCAGATGAGGTTGGGTTCTTAAAGAACTGTTTAAAGCTAGGTTTTATAGATGTTCTTAAAACTAATAACTTCAATCTTTGGGCTAGTGGCGTGGGATGAAATAATCCTAATGAAAGGAAGTACCAATTAGATGATATATTGGTGGCATTCCTGTTTTAGAAAAGCAGTGTAGGTATGTCTGTGTGAACCATTCACACATAGGCAGCACACACAGGCACATGGCTCTATGAACCACGTTGATGCCTTGATATAGAAACAAAACGTTTCAGATACACGTGTCATGGTTAGCAGTTAGCGACTGGGCCAGCACTTAGTCGTAAAATTTTACCTTTTATATGCTGTCTAATTATCAATTTTCCCCAAATTTTGCATTGTAGGACTACTGTTGAAGATTTTTTGAAGAATACTGAAAACGGCATAAAGTGAAGATCAACATTAAAATGAGGTGAAAGAAAGCTATAGTGGCATAGAAAAAGTATAAAGCTCAGTTAGTTATTTGTTTTTTATTATTATTATTATTATTATTAAAAATTAATTCAGGACTGTTGTGACCTACCAGATTTCAGAACATGTGTTATTAGCACATATGCCACTTTGAAAACTTAGGTCCTGTATCATATTTTTTTCTTTAAGACTTTTTAAGAAATATTCTCTAAACATGTGGCTTGCTCAGTGTTTAATTGCAAGTTTTCAGTCTCGGACTTTGAAAACAGGATTAAACGTTAGTGTTCATGTGAAGCAGACTGAGTGGGACTCCATTTTTACACTTCTGCTATACTTAGCCTTTGGATTTAGACGTGAAAATAAAGTATCTCTGACTTTCTGTTACAGAGTTGATTGTCTGTGTCATTGAAAGGCTTTAGTGTTGCTCTTTTTCTAATAAAGCTGTTGACTCCAATCTAGTCCCTTGTTTTTAAATAAGAGGCACACTGTTAATACAAGTGTTAGTGGATGTTTTTCTAACTTGTTTTGTTGAAGGGTAATTTTTATAGAACTTCCATTTGATGTTTTAATGGTGCTTCAATTTGGGGTGGTAATGAAGAAATTTGGATTTGCTTTTAATAGCAAAAGTGTACAGTGAACTAGAATATATTTTTACACCCATGAGAGGTTTCTTTAGTAGTAAAAGGTTCTGAATCACCTTACAAACTGTCTTCCTCTGTCAACCTAGGAAATGATCTAGGCAAACATTCAGAAACTTTCAGCTAGTTATTTTCCTTTAAATTCTATACCAAAATTTTCTTTTAACCCAATCTTAATCCATTTAAAAATGTATATATTTCTCTGTATGGAGTGGTGTAGTGTATATAACAAGGATATTTGAAAAACAAAGCAGGTGATATTTCACATGGAAGTAGCAGCATGTTTATACCTAGCTCCATCGACTGTAAAGTGTTATCCTCAAGTACATATATATCAGCAGTTCCTTGTGACATAAAGTTTTTTAATACTAGCATCGGTTGATAGGTAAAGAAACTGAGCAGATGGCTTCATGTTGATCAGTGTAAGGGCGTTTCTCACTGTTGTGCCACTGTGTTCCTTCTAGTATGCATTTATGGGTCATTACAGAATTTATTAGCTAAAATACTCTATCGAACTTTGATGAATCATGAAGCAACCACTTTTAGAGACACTATATGAGAAATGTTCATGGGGATAAGAGGTCCCCTGGCTTCCCCAGCTGATCTAGAGATGCAGCAGAAGGTGGGGAGCTGCCTCTGCAGTTGTACAAGATGAGGCAGGTGGACATGAAGGTAGTTGTCAACCACAGTCTGGCAGACGTAGAATCACCCAGTTCTGAGCTCTGCTTTGTGTAGCTTATAGTTTGATGACATTGTTGTATTAAGAACATAATGTAAGAAATCTGCTCAAGTATTAAAATGCCAGATTGCTTTCTTCTGCCTCATCTAGACTCAACAGTGAATTTAAATGCAATACAGCAAATGGGCTCTTGTAAAAAGACATCCTCAGTGGACACTGAGTTCTATTGATGCAGACACAAGATTTGAGAAAGCTCTCTTAAGGTGCCTGCTAGAGAGGCTAGGTACTAACTTACTATAAGAAACAAATAGGGGGCTGGAGAGATGGCTCAGTGGTTAAGAGCATTGCCTGCTCTTCCAAAGGTTCTGAGTTCAATTCCCAGCAACCACATGGTGGCTCACAACCATCTGTAAAGAGGTCTGGCGCCCTCTTCTGGCCTTCAGACATACAGACAGAATATTGTATAATAAATAAATAAATATTTAAAAAAAAAAAAAAAGAAACAAATAGCTGTTGCTGTCATTTGGTGTTTATGTGTTTGAGAGTATAGTGAATGTGTCACGTCTTTTTGAAGAGCCAGTTTTAATCAAATTATTCTAATTTTGAAATCGGAGCAAGCAGTTAATCTTTTTTAAAGTGCTTTTTATTTTGGAATTTTCTTATCTCATGAAAGTGTAACAGTATAACCAATCTCTGTTAATTTATGTCCTGTAAGACTCATAGTCCCTTGTGTGCCTGTGTCTGTGGGGGTACGGTGCAAAAGTGTGTATGCGTGCCTGTGCCAGCATGTCTACTCTTCTGTATTCTTAAGCAAGTCTCAGTTATGCTGTTAACTTGTGTCTCTGAAAGACACAATATCTGATGAGTGTTTTCTCTGTAGTTCTCAGACTAATAGTCCTTTGCCTCAAAACTCTCAAGAGGGTGGAAGACGAACAACTCCTGTAGGGTGTAGACAGACTAGACAGATGGCCTCTGCAATAGATCCCAGCTACCACTTTTGTACCTTTGTAATCATGAGCGGTTAAGTTGTTCTGCTGAGATGTTTTCCTCTAGAACATTTCTCACCTTGAATACAGTTAGTGTTATAGGAGAGCCAAAGATCATTCCAGGATGTAAGAACGTGGCTCATGGAACCTAGGGATGTACAAACTGAAAATTTTGCAGTGGGAGTTTTTTAAGTTCACATCTATTCTGTTTCTAAAGATGCATAGCTGCGTTGTAGATGAGTGATGTGTGTGCTTAACCATTGCCTTGTATGTGCATGAAACAGTCTGTGGGGCAGCACTTCCTTCAGGGTTGGTTTTCAAGCTTGCGTTTTTGACTGGTTTTTATTTGCTTGTGAAAGGACCCAGGATGACTGCATTTTAACTTGTTTGATAACTGCAATTGTAATGCTTGTTCTTGGTTTAAAAGCAACAGCCGAAGTGTTCAATCTCTGTCTTCCTTTACTCTTACTGCCTGCTCCTCTAACGAGTTCCTGATGTTGCCTCGTCCAAGCGCTTGGTGGGGGCAACAAAGTAGGAGGTGGGGAATATACAATATAGATGTCTTTATATATGATGGTGTCCATCATATATGTTCTGAATTTGCTTTTTTCAGGTACTATATATGGAAACATTTTGAGATGTAGGATACAGTACTCTGAGTGTGTTGCTTTTAAAAAAGTGTTTCAAGTTAGTTGAAACAGGGTAAATGGCATTTTCATTGTGTCAGAATTATGGATTTTCTATTAAAATGCATTTTCAGAGTTTCATAGTTGGTCTGTTTCTTCTCAGCCATCCCAGACAGATCAGTTGTCTGTCAACAGGTTTTCTTAGGAGCAACTTTGGAAACAGTTTGGCACAGCTAAGTGTGCTGTACTCAGCCCTAGGTACATATTCTTGAGAAACTCTTAAATGTTGCCAGGAGATGGATGAGCAAATGTCTTAATGTCATCTTGTGTAATGAAGAAAAGAAAACCCAGACCAACAAAGCCCTGGGAAGATCCCATCAGCATTTGTGTCGGATAACTAGTGTGACAGACACATCCCCATTGCGGAATTCACAGGTGTGAACATGAACTTCGGCTCCACCATGACCATGGATATTGCAAGATGTAATAATGTCCCCAAAAAGCAAGCCACAGAAGAATCTACCCATTATGGTTCACTTTGGTAAAGGTCAAAACAGGCTGTTAAAATACATGGTAAATGAAAGAAACACGAAACAGTTGACATACAGATCACAGTTAGTGGCTACTTTGAGAATGACCTTGGAGGGCGAAGGGATTTTCAGAGTTGTGGCCACTGTCTTTCTCAAGCTGGACAAGCTCTTTTTCATTTTGAATTGTATGTTTGTGTGCTTTTGTGTATATGCTATATCTTAATAAAAGTTTTTAAGTGGGAAAGGTTTTTGGCATAGGTAGTGACTAATAAACATACTAAATTAACCTCAGTGCATGGAAGATTTTAAAAGCACACTTTTCCCTTTTATCCTTTAAATGGTCTTACTGTGTAGCTCAGGCTAGCTTGGAACTTGGAAATCTTCCTCCCACTTGTTTAGGTTCTAAGAACAGCACCCCACTTACACTACCTACAGGACATGCGCACGGTGTGCGACATCTTTCCTTTCATTTAGATAGCAGCCAGGGATGGATGCGCCTTTCTTTCCTAAGCTTTCCAAGGAAGGTTTAAGTGCCACGAGGTATTAATAAAAATGTTTACTCTTCAAGAAAAGTGATTAGGACTTGAAAAGTCCCTACAGATGCTTAGGGTTCACATAGCCAAGCATTAGTTCCTAGCGGTCGTTCCTCCTCATCACACTCCTCGGGTCCTTTTAGGTAAGCCGAGGAGCGACCATTTATTTTATTATTTATTTGCTCTTTTTATTTTTCAGGACAGGGTTTCTCTGTAACCCTGGCTGCCCTAGAATTCACTCTGTAGGCCAGGCTGAGGTCTGAGATTAAAGAAAGGTGTATGCTACCACTGCCTGGCAAGCTGAGGCTCTTAATGGAGCAGATGAGCAAGGAGAACAGGTCCTCACACGCACAGCTACTGACCTACCACTTGTTGCTGCCTCCTCGCAGCTCTTGAGTTAGGCCTGGACTACTTCCGTGAGCACAGCACAGGAGGTGATTACTTACCAGTCTCTATCACTGTAATAAGCGGATTGATTTTGTGCATCTAGGAGTCAAGGGTGTTGATTTTATTGTAACTCATGTGTTCGGGGCTTTTGGTCTGGTATTCTGCTGTGGGGTTCATTTCACTTAGAAAAGTTTGAGAGTTATTTGGTGGAGTTGTTTCCTGTTTTTACATTCAAGATATGAAGTAAAACTTTTAGTGCACTTCTTGAAGCTCTCAAGTTTTGTTTTAGGTCTTTGAGCTGTAATCCCAGCATTTGGGAGGTTCAGGGTTATTTCTCAGCTACACAGGAGGTCCAAAACCTCCTACTAGAGCTCTAGTAGAAGCTATTAGAGCTCCATGTGTGCCCCCCCCCCCCATTTTGTTTTATACTGAAGTGTGCTTACTAATTTGGAGCAGGTAAGAATTTGCTCATTAGCCTTGTGGTTTAGTTACTGTAGCCACTGGATATCACCTACATACGTTCTGCCATTAGGATAGTATTACCCTCCTAAGTAATTTGCTGTGTATCAATTAAAATTTTTTCTAAACATTTATTTTAAAACAGTTCTCAGTGTTGTACAGATAGTGATTTCTAGCTATTAACCTAACTAGCCTCAAGCCTCTGCCTAAATTTTCCTTATTATTGAAAGTGAAACAGGGGAGTTACCACTTGTGGATCCATCCTGTCCAGTCACAATCACTGTTACCGGAATCTTGGAGCTAGACACCTCGAGCACACAAATTCTCACAGTGCCCCTTTCATTAGAGACCTGGATATCGGGCACGTTGCAGGTGCAGGAGTGTGAAATGAATCACATACCATATAAGCCATTTTCCTCCGACTGTTGGGTAATCCTTACATCAAATCTCAGCTGCTGGGAAGTCGGTAATAAGGAAGCAGTGAACTCTCTGAACTGAGAATACAAATAGAATGTGTTGGTTCACAAGGAGCCCTGGTGTTTTAATTAAACTCAAGGATCAGGGTGACTTGATATTTGAGGAGAAATGGCTATGTAAAGACGGATGGGTGAGTGGGTATGGGCAGGTCACAGCTGAGTGCTTATAAAGTGACAGCCATCTAAAACACGCCAAGAGTCCTCTTGGCTTGGGATGTGAACACCACCAACCTTGTTCGGTAAGCCAGTGAAGCCGCCACCAGCCACAGTGGTGCAAGCTGTTTTCACGAGCTGTCTTAGCCTTAAGCCGATTGTTTACTCAGATCCTGAATCCACTTCATAGGTAAGTGGGACTGGGTGTATATGCAGCTCAGTAGTCGAGTGTCAGTATTGGGGTGTGGCACTTCAAAATACACTTGGCCTCTTGTGGGTAAACAGCTCCTGCTCAGAGAGCTTGGAAATGGGGAAATTTTCCAAAGTTCAGATGTGGTCAGCTGATTGTCACGTGGGTCTAGGCTTCGTGGTTGGCGATGACTGCAGACCCCGCTCTTCTGGAACTAGTAAGTCAGTGTTGCAGCTTCGCTGTTGTAGCAGGGCCTCTCTGTAAGAGGTGACACCGTGTGTCGAGTGTGCTCATACTTCCCGCTCTTCACCAAGAGCTCTAGCTCCTGAAAGTCTTGGAGTCTTTGAATGTCTTTGTCCTAAAAGTTGGGGAAAGACTTAGTGATTCCAGAACGCTGTGTAATGTCAGTGGAATAAGGCTTACCGTTGGCCATTTCAAGTTGGCCTTTGTCTCCATGGTGAATCATCAGCAGTTGGTTTATTTTTAAAACTTTATTTTTGAGACAAGTTCTCTCTGGAGTCCTGGCTGGTCTAGAACTCAGATCCATCTGCCTCTGCTTCTCCAAATGCTGGGAGTATCAAGGTGTGTTCCCTTGAGCCTAGTTCATATTTATTTTTCATGTTAAAGCTATCTGGAAAGTATGATTATCCTGTGACAATTATAGTTTACAAAGAGTACATCAATGAAGCTGCCAGAGGCATGGGGGCGGGGGGGGGGGGGGGGGTCCTGGAACTCAGTGAAGACCAGGCTGCCCTCAGAGATTGTCTGACAACTTCTGACTCCCAAGTGCTGGGATTAAAGGTGTGCACCACTACACCCAACTGTGTGTGGGGCTGAAGATTTCTATTTGTTGGCTTGGTTTTTAAGACAGGGTTTCTCTGTGTACTTGGTACTTAGAAACTAAAGGATTGGCTCTGCGGAACATTGTTCACCCACAGAGTGTATTGGGCGGTGTGTGACCTACCTTTCTGAGCAGCGTGTTTGGCAGCTTCCTTATCTTCTCCACTTGCTCTGGGTGGATCCCCAGTTCACAGCAGCTTACGTGAAGTAGGTTCTGGTAACTCAGCTCTTGTCTGTGCAGTTCAATTTCAATGAAGTCATTTTCTTTGGAGTTTTGAATTCTTATTTTAAGCACCAGCGCTGATCACCCATAAATTCAAACAGATTTTTAGATAAAATACCCATTTTAGAGATTGTTGACATCAGATATCACAGCAAAGATGATTCTAAAAACCTGAAGATAAGTAGACTTGGAGCTATTGTAGATACTTTATAAGCTGAGACTAAGTGCTCGACTGGCTGAAGTTGTGTGCCAATGTCAGGTCTACTACAGACAGAAAGCTTGGAGGTTGATACCAGCTAGTCACTCGGGGGGCATTTTAATTTCTTGAAAAAGACATGTCTGCCATGTGTGTGCAGGTGCCTGTGGCCACAAAGACTGTCAGATCCTCATGAGCTGGAGTTCTTGGCAGTTGTGAGCTGCCAGATAAGAATCATACTGGGCTCCTAGAAGAACAGCTTACTGTGCTATCTCTCTAGCTCCTACTTATCTTTGGAAGTGGGTCTCAGACAGACCTTAAACTCAAAGTTCACCTACCTCAGCTGTCCAAGTGTTAGAAATTATAGGCATGCACCTCACACTTAGCTTCTTCCTTTCTTGGAGTTGAGGATCAAATCCAGAGCGTTAAATATATGTAGGGTAAGCACTTATCCTGAACTATACTTTGAGCCTGTATTAAGAGATTTATGTATGCAGTGGAGGGCTGGAGAGATGCCTCAGTAGTTAACAGCACTGGCTGTTCTACCTGAGGACCCATATGATGGTGACAACCGTCTGTATTTCCAGTCCCAGGGGACCCAGGGCCCGCTTCTGGCCTCTGAAGGCACCAAGAACACATGTAGTTCACAGACACACATGCAGAAAAGCACCCCTGCATATAAAAGTAAAATATGCAATGGGTATTTAGTGCATTGGCAGTGTGTAGCAGTCATGGTACTTAGTTGGCCATTTGAGAAGTTACTAGGAAGTCTGGACAAGGTGCTGGCCAGTGGGTGTGATTCTTCTGGCATCTCTTAGCTAGGATGAGTCAGTATATTTTGGGGACTATGGCCTAGAGTGTCAATCTTGTCAACTTATTATCTCAAGAACAGTGTGAACTAGAACTACACTGGGTAAACCACATGGCAAGCACAGGCCTACATGGTCCTTACCTGGACCCACGGTGGTGTCAGTTTTGCCATTACATGGATCAGTTGACAAGTGTGGATTCGCATTCATGCCTTGTTCATTTTCACCTGGGGGAGAGTTAGGAAAGAGATGGGCTGAGAAGGAGTCCCCAGCCTCCGCTTCCTGCTTATCATCACCCAAGTCTATTCTACCCTTTCACAGGAAGGCCAGGAAAAGGACTGATCAAATTTAATCTTAACAATAAAAGCTTTTTTATTTCCAGGTAGGGCATGCCACAGAGAATGTGTAAAAGGTCAGAGCACCTCCGTAAGTGGGCTCTGAGGATTGGGCTTAGGGCTTAGGCTTTTGTGGCTATCCCATAGACCCTAGTTTTGCTCTTGGACTTTTCTTAACTACCAGCCAAATCCTGAAAGGAAGTCGATTCTGTGTTTTAAAGTGGTGCTTGATCTGGGGAAGAGATGCTTACAAACTGTGCCCGTGAGTTTCTGCTGGCTTTGCTATGCAATATTTGTGTTTCCAGGTCTCTAGCACAGCTACATACAGAAAGAGAATCATTAAAAATCTTCCTTAGAGACAGGTGGATCTCTGAGTTCGAGGCCAGCCTGATCTCAGGCTACACAGAGAAACCCTGTCAAAGCAAAACAAAAAATACTTGAAAGAATTGAGTGGTGGTGGTCCACACCTTTAATCTGGGAGGCAGAGGCAGGTTGATCTCTGAGTTTGAGGCCAGGCTGGTCTACAGAGTGAATTGAGTTCCAGGACAGCCAGGACTACACGAGAAAACCCTGTCTTAAAAAAAAAAAAAAAACCTGAGGGGCCGAGGAAATTGCTCAGGGGTACAGCACTTGCCCGTCATGCCTGAGGCCATTGGTTCAGTCCCCAACACCACAGAGCAACAGTGAAACTCCAAAGCCATGAATGGATATTTACAAGAGGGTAGAAAAGGCAAGTGGTAATAAGGGGAAATTGCAGTGGTGCCCAGGTAAAGACAGCACAGTACTTAAAAGCGTGAGAGCTAGAATGGGTACTTTCAGGCCAACAGCCCAGAACACTAAAGCTTTGGGTCTCCAAATGCAGCCCTACTTGTACAGCAGCGTCAAGTAGCTCCCAGCAAGGAGACAGTCCTGGTCAGCACAGCCCCCTCCTCTCACGTCAGTAATGAATGTCCCTTTTCTCAGCACGAAGGGATTAACGAGGTTTTGTCTGTTCTTCCAACCTGAGCCAATGAGGTGACTCAACCCTATGCATAGGCGGCTGGGGCGCATCTCAGACGCCGCTTGTCAGTGGAGCACTAGGTTTGTGTATCTCTGATAACTCTCAGGAACTTTCCCAAATCTAATTGGGAGGGAACAAATCAGGGTCTGAATTGTACAGGAAAATGAGGCTAGTAAGCCCTACCCCACGGGGTGGCTAGAAAAAAGGAGTGCTCAAAAGGCCCTCCTAGCACCAGATAATGCTGCTGGTGGAGGGAGAGAACACTGGGTCCAGTTGCTCTGCTCACGACTGGCCCACTGCCTATGGAACTAGCCACCACCTTCTGCACACCACCCTCTGCCACTATTCCCTTGGAGGACTGTTGAAAACAGGATCCACTCACCTGCCAGCGTCTCCCTGATGTCCTGTTCAGGCTCCTCCATGAGAGATGAGTGGCCCCTCTCAAGTTAGTATAAGCTCCCAACCAAATGTGTTTCCTAGTGTCTCAAGTATGTGTAGTAAGATAGTATATACTGTCACTGGCCTTGTAAAATGGACAAGGTCGTGTTTATTGCCAAGTGCACAGGCTCAGGTGTGTCACGTGACTCTTATAGCATGCTGCAAGTGAAGGCAGAGACTGAAGGTCAAAGCGTTTCCCTTCCTAGGCTGTGATCCCTGGATATAACGCAGGGGAATAACACTTGGGTGGGAATGGAGCCCTTTGCTCTGGCCTGAGTACCAGGGACCAACCAGGCACCCCAGAACCCTCCACCAGAGTCAGGCTTTCCTTGGGAAATGTTTGTGGATCCGTATTAGGGATAGAAATATCAAGCCCTCCGTTCCCGGGATTGGACAGTCCTGCTCTCCCAGCTCCTCCCTCGGTTGCTATGCATGCCTAGAAAGAAGCTGGAAGTCCCTGGCCATACCTGGGCAGGCTGGTTTGTGAAAATGATCTCTTGATTGTAAGCATCAAAGGGCAAGAGGCGGGCTGGGGCAGGGCTAGCTGAAGGGTGGGTGGGGCTGGACAAAGTCCCCAGTGAGACTGCTGTCCTGAGCTCTCAAAAGCAGGCTGTCAAGTAGGAGGAGCATGGACTGAAGCCAAATGTGTGCGTGACTGGCGTTAACATTCCTGTGACAGAAGACAGCAAATGGACAGTCCATCCAGTGAGCCTCCAAACACCGGAGGAGCCTAGAGGTCTTAGATGAAACGCACACCTACTGCAGGAAACTGGCTGCCTGGTTGGGCACCCTATAAGAAGTACGAGTTAGGTGATCTGGGGTGCGCTGCGAGCACTGGAACCAGTGGTTAAAGTCCTGGTTGTAATGTACAACATGGTTGAGAATCACTAATTTACCCAAATTGCTTCAGGTTGCAAAAGAAGAAACTGAGGTCCAAGGAAATGAAATACTTGACAGTCATGTAACCAGCTAGGCACAAGCTGGCGATAGACTTGGGTGGCATGGTTGCCCCCTCCCCCACCATGCTGATGATGCCTTCCTGCCAGGAAAGGAGAAGGTAGGAGTGACCCACAGGAGGAAATAGGTCTGCCTGACCTGAGCATGGATATGGAATTGTACTTTGGCCAGCTGGGCTTCCAGGGTGTGGTGAGCTAGAAGCAGACATCCTGGATCACCCCACCTGTTGAAATAGACTCGGGGGACAGGAGCTGTAGCTGACACACTGAGGGAAAGCCTCCGCTCGTCCCTATATGTGTTGTGTCGGCTTGTCCTCTCAGTGCCCGTGTGTGCAGTCACCCAGCCGCACCATTTCCTTCCCTTCACAGTGCCACCGGCCCTGATTTGAGACCGCCTTCACTGTACTGTTTCCCTGTATCTCATCTTCTCTAACTCATGCTAGGATGTCACTGGTAGTTATAGAGGACTATACTGTGTTTTCCACAGCCAGGAGAGCTAGATTCCCCTTCATAGATTTTCTTTTCTGACATTTTTTCCCTAACCATTGTTGTAGGAAGTTTTTTGTTTTGTTTTTCCATATATATATATATATATATATATATATATATATATATATATATATATCCATTTTAAAGTGTACTAAGGCCAGGCAGTGGTGGCACACACCTTTCATCCCAGCACTCGGGAGGCAGAGGCAGGTGGATCTCTGTGAGTTCGTGGCCAGCTCTGGTCTACAAGAGCTAGTTCCAGGATAAGCTCCAAAGCGACAGAAACCCTATCTCGAAAAAACAAAAACAAAACCAGAAAAGTGTACTAAGAACAGGTAAGATGGATCAGTAGGTAAAAGGGTCACTAAGCCTGACAACTTGAGTTCAATTTCCTGAACCCAGTAAAGAAATGAAAGGAGAAAACCAACTCCTCAATGTCACCCCTGATCTCCATGTGCAGGCTTTACCACTGAGCTATACTCCCAGCTCATTCTTTCATGGGTCTTCACATGCATTTGGGCAGAGCGCAGATAGTGACTGCCTTTTTTTTTTCCATGCTGGTCTCTTTCCTTTTCCTTTTTCCTGAGACAGGGTTTTTCTGTGTTGTCCTGGTACTTGTTCTGTAGACCAGGCTGGCCTCGAACTCAGAGATCCACCTGCCTCTGCCCCCTGAGTGCTGGGATTAAAAGTGTGCTCCATCACCACCTGGCTCCACACAGGGTTTTCAGGGATGCTCGTACCAATCAGCCTTTGAAAGCAGACAGTGCTCTCCTGACCCCTCTGCCAGCCAAGGGAAGGCTAGTTAGCATAGAGTTTATAATAAGGACAATGTCTTTTGGGGAACAAAGATCAAGCAGCTTGTGCAGCCACAGCCACACACATGCAGGCACACACAAACACACACACGCATGCACGCACAATTAAACTCAGTTGGGGCAGCAAGGTGGCTTTAGCAGTGGGTGCTTGCTGTGTGCAAGCTTCCCTGGAAGCTCTATGCACCCACTGTGGTACCCACACGTCCCCATCCCCACACATCATGCTCATATGAGCGATAACTTCATGATTGTTTCCCCACACCTTGGGTTCCACCACTGGAAGCTGTTTGTTAATATTCCTGTCTTTATTATTTACTTAGAGACAAGGTCTAATGTGTCCCAGGCTGGCCTCCTACTCCCTAGATGGTAGATGAGAATGACCTTGAATTTATGACCCCCCCCAAGTGCTGGGCTCATGGGAACGCACCACCACACCTGAGTTATGTGATATTGGGGAGTGAACCTCAGGGCTTTGTGCATGCCGGACGAGCACCCTACCAACTGAGCTATGCCTCCAGTTGGTTCTGTTGTTTAAGCTAAGGTACACAGTGTTTTGGGGGAAAGGTTTTTAATGACTGAGGAAGGAGATGTGGAGGCAAGTAGTTTGGTAAGCAGCCTTGTGGCAGCTTCTGCATTCTCGTGCGGTGTGGGAAAGATAGCTGGGGGGTCCTGGTGATCCTAAAAGGTCCAGTGGTGTGGAACCACCGAACCCCAAAAGCCTCCGGTGAGTCTGAGACCAACACAGTTTCTTATCTGATAAACAGTACAGGGGAAAAACTCAACTACTGGCTCCATAAAACACAAGCTTGTTGGTTTTGGGTTTGAAGTCTCCCAGCTGGTGGTGCTGTAGAGAGCTTACTGGGTTTTAAGAATGCTAACTAGGAGGTTAGGCCTAGTTGGAGGAAGTGGATCCCCTGGGGAGGGGAGGGAAGGGTCTCTCCTGGGCCACCCCTTTCATCGAGGCTCCTGACTGCCCTGAGGTGAACATTTTGTTGTGGCCAGTGCCCTTCCGCTTGATGCTTGCCCTCAATACAGTCCCACAGAGGTGTTGTCACACAAACAGGGATGCAGCCTGAGGAGTCTTGAGCCAGACACAGAAGAAGCAACGTGGGAAGTTTACAGATGAGGTGAACAAGCCTCAGAGCAGCACATGGAGGAATAGAAATGGGTTAATTTAAGTTGTAAGAGCAGCACTCGGGAGGCAGAGGCAGGCGGATCTCTGTGAGTTCGAGACCAGCCTGGTCTACAAGAGCTAGTTCCAGGACAGGCTCCAAAACCACAGAGAGACCCTGTCTCGAAAAAACCAAAAAAAAAAAAAAGTTGTAAGAGCTGGCTGCAGACATGCCTAAGCTATCGGCCTAGCATTTATAATTCATATCCAGTCTTTGGTTATTTGGGGAGCAGCTGGTGGGACAGAAAAGTCGGCCTACAAGTGAGACCCAGGTTCAGGGAGAGATCCTGTCCCAAAGGAGTAAGCAGAGACGAAAGGACAAGAGAACACTCTAGTATCCTCTTCTGTCTCCATGCATGCACATGGAAGCACACACACACATTTTTAAAGCTTAGTTTTAATTTTGACTGTGTGTGTGTGTGTGTGTGTGTGTGTGTGTGTTTGTGTGCATCTGTGCATGGGACTGTAGGGTCCACAGAGGCCAGAGGCATCAGATCCCTTGGAGCTAGAGTTACAGGTAGTTGTGAGCCACTCTGGAGACTGAACTTAGGTCTTCGGTCCTCTGCAAGAACAAAATTCTTATCAGGGTATGGTGGCACACCCTTTTAATTCCAACAGAGGTAGAGGCAGGCAGATCTCTGAGTTTGAGGCCAGCCTGGTCTACTTAGTTTCAGGACAGCCAGCACTGTCTTCAAAAAATTTTTTCTAAGGTGATTTTTTACACCAGGAACTTTGCTTGATGTATTTTGCAGTGTCAGGGATCAAAGTTGGAGTCACAGGCATGTTGGGCTAGCTCTCTACCACTGAGCTAGCCCTCCAGCCCATACTGACCCATTTAAAAGTATTTTTTCCCTAATGCATGGACGGCATTGTGCAACATTACCTGAGATCTTGTTTCATCACTCTGAAATATACCCTGTGTTTATTCTTTATTACCTGTCACGTGTCATTTCCCTTCCTCATCCTAATAACATGCCATCTACTCTCTGGACCTATGGATTTGTCTGTTCTGAACACTTCCTGTCACTGGAGTGATAAGTAATGTTCTGTGTCTGACTCCTTACTCTGCGTAGTGTTTTCAAGGCTCATCCCCGCTACAGTTTGGATCAGTATTTTCTTCCTATAAATTGATGGACATTTGTTTTGGTTCCATTTTGAGCGATGATGGTCAATGCTGCCACAGCCTTGCACAAAATTTTGGTATCAGGTGATCTGTGTTTCATGGGGTGATCAAAGGAAGAGGGTCACTCCAAAGTGCAATTCAGGTTCCATCAGCAGGGAGGAACAGTTCCTCCTTGGACGAACTGAGCCCCAAACAGCTGTGCAAAGGAGTAGTTATTGATTGTTACACAGAAGCTGGTTTTGGAGTGAAACAAGTTCCTCATACCAAAGCCCCGATCTAATCTGTATCCTTTGAGAAGGAAGACATCACACCCTGCAGCTTCAGTCCTTGTTGCGTACTATTTGCAGCCCAATAATGTAAGTTGCACCAAGTGTGCCAGGTTCGTCCAGTGATCAAAGCCACGCATAGACTGTAGAGCTCCTTCAGCAACGACTCTCCGGATAACAGAGAACAACCACTGTTTTCTACGATAAATTCTTCAAGGTCTAAGTGCTCCTAGAAACCAGCTGTTCTGATGTTTACCCTGGATACAGTGAGGATGACTATTTCATTCTGATGTTTACTCGAGCTACAATGACTCTTTAGATAGCTACTATGTTGTGCTTGTTTTGTTTTCGCCTTTTTAAAAAATATTT